GCCGGGTCTCTGCCCTTCCTGCAGGAAGCCCCGGGGCCGGACAAGGGGCCCGTGTCCGGTCCTGGCCCCCCGCCAGCACGTGCCGGGGGATGGCGAGGGGGTGGCGAGAGCGGCTGGGGATGCCACTGGTCCCTCGGTGCTGCCATCGCCAGCCACAGGACACGGGAACACTGAGGACACCCCTGGGCATGGGAACAGAGGGTTCTGCCCTCCACCTGCCATTCCAGAGGCAGTACTGGGGCTGGGGGTGCCCGGGTGGGGACACCACCTGTGTGCCAATTCCTGCAGTGTCTCCATCCTCAGCGTCCCCATTCCTGTTCAATGTCCCCATGGGCACCCCCTGCACTGTCCCCATTGCTGTCCCTTCAATGTCCCCAAGCCCCCAGGTGGGAGCTCAGCTGGGCACAGAGACGGTGGGGCTATGGCAGGGACATCCCAAGCTTCCCCTGGCAGTTACCCCAGAAGAGAGCCCTGGCAGGCACCACGAGCACCCTCAGCTCGGCCCTGGCCCAGTGAGGGGTCCCAGCCCAGGTCGGGCCGGTGACACCCATGTCCCCATGCCCAGGAAAGGTGGGTGCGTGGGGCAGAGCACAGGACACAGGGGGCCTGGGCAGGTTTTTATTTCAGGAGAAGCGACTCTGGGGGCAGCTGGTTACAGGTGAGTCCTGCTGCCCTGTGGAGCTCCAGCACCAGCCAGGGCAGGAACTCTGCTCTGGCCACACTGGCTGTGCTCTCAGCAGGGCTGGAGGTCCCTGGTGTGGGGCTCACCCCAAACACCCCCCAGGAGCCCCTGGTGCTGCCAGGGGGATCCCGGGGCAGCGTGGGGCAGTGCCAGCAAGATGCTCCAGGCCGGGCAAATGCCAGGGCTGGCACAGAGGGGCTGGGGACTCCCTGTGCCCCAGCTGGTTTAGAGGGTGGCGGTGGCAGGTCCCCATGGAGGTCTCGGGGTGGCAGGTCCCCGCGGGGCGCTCAGGGCTGGAGTGGGGTTGGCCCATCCCCTTCTCAGGAAGCGTTGCTGTGCCAGGACCGGAGAGGCGTCACCAAAAGCAGCCGCTGACAGCCGGGACGGGAGCGCGGTGCCCGCGGGGCGGGCGGCCAGTTAGTGCAAACAAGGTCTGTATTATTCAAGCTGGCGGCTTCGGGCTGGCGGCCCCGTCCCACCGAGGCTGGGGAGGCACGGGGTGGCAGGGGGGCAGGAGGAGTGGGGGGACGCCGGGGCAGGGGCAGCATCGTCTCTCAGCCCTGTCACAAGAGCACGCAGGGCTTCTTGGGCTTGGCCGGGGCTGGGTTGAGCACGGCCCTCACGGCCTCGGTGAACACATCCTTGATGCCCTCCTGGTTGAGCGCCGAGCACTCCAGGTACTTGACGGCGCGGATCTGCTTGGACAGGCTGATGCCCTGCTGGGTGGTGATGGGCGCCTGGTTCTGCTCCTTGAGCCGCTTCATGGTCTCGGGGTTGTTCCTCAGATCCTTCTTGGTGCCGACGAGGAGGATGGGCACGCTGGGGCAGTGGTGGCACACCTCAGGGTACCACTTGTGCTTGACGTTCTCGTAGGAGGGCGGGCTGGCGATGGAGAAGCAGATGATGAAGACGTTGGTCTGGGGGTAGGAAAGCGTCCGCAGGCGGTCGTACTCCTCCTGGCCAGCCGTGTCCCACAGGTTTAAGTTAATAGTCCTGCCGTCCACCGTGTTCTGGGCGCTGTAGTTGTCGAACACGGTGGGAATGTACTCCTTGGGGAAGGCGTTGGTGGTGTAGCAGATGAGCAGGCAGGTCTTGCCCACCGCCCCGTCTCCCACCACCACGCACTTGATGCTCTGCATCCCGGCGGTGCTGGTGACCCCTCAGCAGCCTGCGGGAAGAGAACAGGCTCAGGGAGGGCACGCTCCTGGGCTGGGTCAGCGTGGGCCCCCTCTGACACCCCCAGGCTGGAGGCTGCACAGGGGTCACCCCCTTGGTTCACCACCCGACCAGTGCCCAGATCAGCTTCCCAGGCAGGCAAATCCCCCTGACAGAGACCCTGCAATGGGGATCTGCCTGCCATGACCCAGGGACACGTGTGTGCCACCACAGCCAGCGTGAACGGGGACCACATTGTCCCCAGGGTGCTGCATGCATGGCAGCCAGGCTGTGCCACCCGTGCTGTGCCATCCCGTGCTGTGCCACCCGTGCTGTGCCACCCGTGCTGTGCCTCAGCTCAGAACGGGACGGAGGGCAGCAGGGCAGGGAGCAGGGGCATACCGGGGCTCTGGCAGCCCGTGCACCATCACTATCAGCCCCAGCGCCATCCTGCCCGCACCAGGCAGGGCTGGTGATGCTCCCGGCGGGCAGAGGCCGGGCTGGCGCTGTGGCTGGGTGGCCCCTGAGCCAACGTCCGCTCCGGCAGCTGTGTTTATCCCCCATCCCGGCGCGCGTCTTCCTTCCTCAGGTTCCTTCTGCAATTCCCATTACGGGCTGCATCCTGCTCCCCTTCCTGCTGCTGGCCGGAGCCAGGCGCTGCCAAGCCCTGCCCAGCCCACGGTGCTGGGGCGGGGAGCTGCCCACCCTGGGGCCGGCAGCCCCTTTCCCCCCGCGATCCGGCCGTGGCAGCTGCTGCCCACCCACGGGGTCACAGCGGGAGGACGGGCACCCCACTCGTGTGCCAGGGACAGGCAGGGAGCAGAGGTGCGGGGCACAGAAGCCGCAGTGTCCCGGAGCCCTGGGCGGGGGTCCCCGCTGCCAGGGCCCGCTGAGTCCTCGGGGTGGGGCGGGGAAGGGCCCGAGCCCCCGGCCCGAGCCCCGGGCCGAGCCCCGGCCCGTCCCTGCCCCTCGCATGGGGAAGTCGCTCTTCCTCTTCCCGCTGACACGCGGCTTCCTGCGGCTGTGCCCGGCTGTGCCCGACCCCCGGGACAGGCACCGGGCGCTGCCAGGAACGCCCCGCAGCGCTGTGCCTCAGTTTCCCCGCTGCAAGCCTGCTTCCGCGGGCAGGGCTCCGCATCCCTGCTGCGGGACCGGGGAGCAGCGGGGCCCCGGCCCCACCCCGCAGGAAGCCGCCTGCAGGGTCCCCGGGGGCCGCGAACACCGGCCGGGCCCTTGGCCGCCGGTTCGGGAGCAAAGTCAGCCCGCCGGTTCCCTCGCACCGCCGGGCCCCGGCGCTCAGCCCGGCAGGCAGGGCTGGGCTGCGGGAGGGGCAGGACGGGGCGCTGGCAGCAGGAGCACGAGAGTGACGGGCACGGACCAGAATCAAACAGTGGGACAGGATCAAGGAGAGCAGGACAGTGGGAGAAGGAGCTGGAGCAGGAGGAGCTGGAGCAGGGCAGTGGGAGGAACATGCTCAGGGTCATGGACCAGGATCAGAACTAGGGGAGTCTGGGGTCCCTCCATGGCTGCACAGGGCCACCCTCAGCGACATTCACCTTGCACAGCTGCCACCCACATCCCCTGTGCCCCTTCTGTCCTGCAGCCACTCCATCCCTCGGCCCAGGGCTCCCAGGGCTGGGGGGTACCAGGGCAGCCCCTGGAGGGGGACACAGCTGCCCCTGTCACCCCAAGGCCCCATTTGGCCCATCTGACCCAGTCTGGACCCGAAGCACCCCTGAGCCCCAGCCTGGGCCTGTGCCCATCCCACAGTGGGCCGTGACACACACTGCTCATGCTGAGCCCAAACTGACTGTGGGCACCTCGGGATGAGCTGCACCTGGCAGGAACCATCCCTATCCCCTCCCCATCCCCTCCCCATCTTCACCCCTATTCCCATCCCCATCCCGGTGCAGAGGAAACACTCCTGCCCATGAAGGGCATCACCACTGGGAAATGGAGGGGAGGAAGAGGAGGAGAAGGAGGGACTAGATAGAGGCCAGGGGTCACTTCTCCATCACCCAGCACCCCTGGGGGTGTGGAGCCCCAGAGTGTCCCCAGGTTTGTCACCGGCACTCAGCAAACCTGGGCGCACACCACGGCACACACCACGGTGCCCGAGGGCTCACACAGGAGCGTTCGGGCTCCTGCCAGCCCTGGCACTGCCAGCACCAGGTACGAGGTGCCCGTGGCACAACAAGGGGACCCGCGGGCACGGCTCACACTCACAGGGCAAATGCCTCGCTGAGGAGGGGCTTTGTGCAGGGCAGAGCCCCCGCAGCAGCTCCGAGTCTGTCTGGGTGCCGAGGAGGGGATGTGGTGCCAGGGGGGCTCCGGCCCTGTCACAGCCAAGGTTTGCAGCCACAGCCACCACGTCACAGCCCCAGCCAAGCCCCTGACTCACACTCGTCTTCCCAGGGAGGATGAGGAGGGACCAGCGCCCTGCCTCCTGAGCCCCGGGTCCCTGTGTCCCCCAGACGGGACAGGAGGGCAGGCAGGAGCCCCGTTCCAGGGCAGGGCCAGGGGCTGCCCGGTGGCACGCTCGTGGTGCCGGGCAGGGGCTGGGGGTCACCCGTGTCCCTGCACCACGCTGCCCCGGGGCCAGGATGGGCCGGTCCGGGGACCCTGGGTGGGTGCCTCGGCCCTGTGTGCCCCCAGCGCCTGCTGCCAGCTCCCTGCCCTGCCGGCACAAGGCCAGCTCTGTTCTCCCGGCAGATCCGCGGCCGGCAGCACATTTAACCCCTCCTGGCCCCCGGGATGCCGGGGTCAGAGTGGGGCTGAGGGACAGCCCGCGGGGCACACAGCCCATGGGGCACCGGCCCCTTCCCGGCCCCGGGGAAGGAGGGCTGGGAGCACGGGGCCGCGCCCAGCCCCGGGCTCGGCACCCGCGCCCCGGCCACGCTCCACTGCGGTGGATGGCGTCTGGGGGCTGGGGAGAGGGGCAGGCGGCGAGGGGGTGTGGGTGGCACACGGAGTCCCCCCTCCCATCGCCACCCCCTGGCACGGGAAAAGCGACTCATCTCTTCAGCAGAAAAGGGAAGCAAAACCGTCTGCCAGCGCTCCCGGCCGGGGCAGCCCCCGGGGGTTTTCCGCCGGGGAAGTGGAGCAGCCGCCCCCGTGAGCTCCCCGTCCCACGGTCCCCAGCCCTGCCCCGACCTCCCTGAACCGACCCTGCCCGCCCCACCAGCCCTTCCCCGCCCCACAGCCCCGGCACGCCCCACTTCGGGCACCTCGCACCCCACCGTGCCCCCAGCACCCCGCCCTGCCCCGGGCGCCCCTCCCCGGGCACCCTTCCCCGAGGGTCGTGCCCGCGCCCACCCAGGGCCGGGGGTCACCAGCCCCGTCACTGGGGCACTCGTGCCCTGCAGCCTGCTCAGCAGCAGAAAGAGGAAATGAATAAAACTGCTGAAATCTCTAAATCCCAGGCAGGGACCCCACGGGGGTCCGTGGCCCTGGTGGGGATGCAGGGACCCCCCAGGGCCCCCCCAGCTCGGCCCCGGCTCTGCCGTGGCAGCTAAAATAACTTCCATGCTGACTCGGAGGATTTTGATTTCCCTCATTTTCCAGCTGGCGTGACTAATTTCCTCATTTTATTTCCCTCCCAGGCCGGGTCCCGCTCTGCCCCTCGCCATGGCCATGGCCACTCCCGGCCCTCGGCCTCAGCTCCAGGCGCTGCCAGAGCTCGGAGCTCCGGGGCTGGAGGGGATCCAGGCCCTCGGGGGGATGTGGCCACTCCTGGGCCTGGCCACTGCTCCCACAGCCACAGGGCTGGAGCACAGGGATCCTGGGGGTGGAGGGACGGATGGACAGATGGACAGACGGATGGATGATGGACAGATGGATGGATGGATGGAGGGATGGATGATGGATAGATGGATCATGGATGGATGGATGGATGATGGATGGATGATGGATAGATGAATCATGGATGGATGGATGGATGATGGATGATGGATGGATGATGGATGGATGGATG